CATCTTGTAGATGGCACCAATCATGCTCAGCATCTCGGGCGGCACCTTGAAATGCCGAAGTGCGAACAATAATCCTTTGGGTTTGATGCGATCAAACGCCTTGCTCCAATCCAGCAGTAGCAATAATAATGTACCGTTTTTGTCTTCAGGGCTGCGTCGATTAATCTCCGCATCAGGAACAACGCGTCGTTGGTGTCCCGTGCGGCTCGGAATCGCGATTCCCGTAATTGTTCATCAGCCCCTCCGCTTTTGAATCTCTGTAATATGATGCTGGCCAAGATGTTGTAGCCTACCGCCAACAGAGAAATAGGCCTGTAGTTGCCCAGCTCGGAGGTATCGCCCTTCTTGAAGATAGATACCACTGAGGCTTCTCTCCATTGCTTTGGTATGTCCTTCTGCTGCCAGCAATCGTTACATAGAGATCGCAAGATTTCCAAAGCTGCGCTGTCTCCCCAGATCGCGTGCCACAAGTCTGGCAGAGCTCTGTCGCTACCGGCCGCTTTTTGTACCTTCAAGGCCTTGACTGCCCGCTGTACTTTCTCCAGCGTGATATTGCCAACGTCGATGTGTAAAAATCCACCGTCCTCCACTAAGTTGGGAAGTTATTCTGAATCGTGGCACGATTTCCATTGTTCCCTTTCCAAATAATCTGCCATTGTTTCGGCCCTCATCTCTGAGTCTACGAGATTGCCGTCGCTGTCCCTGAGCCTCCTGTGTTTCATCGGCCGGCCCTTCCGGAGAGCCCGAACAGCATGCCATCCATAATGTGTTATGGCTTCTTCCAACCAATATTTTCTGTCAGCACGCGCTGACAATTGGATTTGTTTGTTGAGTCTCTTGACCGCGTCTGTGACTGTACCGTGTATCCGTTTTTGGTTCCGCTCCTCGATCAAATGCAAAGTTCTGGTCGAGATCCAGGGCCGCCTCCTGTGCACTGCAATGGTTGGTAAAATCTCTTTTGCGGCTTCCAACATACATGTAGACATGGATTCTGCTTTGGTGCCAAGATATGGACAGAGAGGTGGGACTCCCCAGTGATGGACAAAAGCTCCGGAATACTTGTCTGCGATGTCGTTGTCTTTGAGCTCCGTGAAATCAGGTTGCAATGTTTTGTGTAGGCGTTCTGTTTTCGGTATGTCGATATCAAGATCAACCATCTGTACGAAATGGTGTGATTGCAACACCCTACTGCGGTCGCTCCAGATAGACGTAACATTACTGAGCCAGTTCCGCGCAATGATGACGTGGTCCAGCTGCTCGAAGCTTCCTGGTTGTATCGGTTCTGCTGGCTTGGTGCCCAAATCGTAATGATACGTGTTGGCTTCTACACCTGTGTCGAAAAATGTATTCGCGATGCAGCCGTCCATGGCATTGCATACTTCCAATTTTCTCGATTTGATGTCGGTGCCCATCTTCCTGTTGGATTGTCGAAGAGATACTGTTCCATGACGGTTTCTTCTCCAGCATGGCGCTGTAATAGCCTCGCGTTGACATCTCCTAACAACAATGTTGGCCCATGCGATTTGCACTTCTGTGAGAACCTCAACAGATCCGTGAAGAAGTCGTGCCGGACGTCGTAGTTGTGCTCGTTTGTCCAGGCGTACACCGTAACCAGCGTACTATTCCCACCAGATACACGGACCCTTAAGCTTGCCATTCGTTTGTCCTGCTGTAGATACCCTTTGATGGCGTGGCGCATCCAAGGGGCGACAATAATTCCGACGCCTGCGTACTCTCTGTTGCCGTGCTCAGCCCCAGAAAGGATAAATAAATACCCCTCGCATTCGAAAGTAGATGATCCCAGGCAGTGTGTCTCTTGAAGACATAGCACACCAATGGATACATCAGACATGTGTTTAATTATTTCGTACAACTTGTGTGGCCTCTTCAAGCTAATCACCGTACCGGCATGCATGGGAGCGTTACCCGCTGGCCAGAACGAGTCGTACTTGTGGTCCCGATGCGCCGTCGTATTCCCTAGTGGCCTCCCTTCTTACCTTTGCCCCCGCCTTTCGCAGCAGCCCTCTGGAGAACCCAGTTGGCGCGGTCTTTCAAGTCAGCCACCTCCTGGCTGTTGGTGAGGTCGCCCCAGGCTGCCCAAGGTCCTTCCCAAGCAACTTGGAGAGCCGTCCCGGCCACACGTGCATGACAAACTGACTATTTGGCCACTTTGAGTTTCTGTTCCACCGTATCTACGCGCACCTCACTCTTGGAATAACCCCATCCCCCAAAAAGTCTTCCGGAGTCCGAACAAGAAACTCTCAGGCACCCTCTTTTCCAGTGGTTGATCCCGTCGTGTCCAGATCATGTTCTCTTGGTGCTTCAACTGCGCCCTCCCCAAGATGCTTACGTACTTGTCCCTGGCGCTCATGGAATCAAATTTTGCGAAAGGAATCTGCTGGAACGACTCGCCTTTGATGAAGATATCGGACGGTTCAGGGGCTCCAAGCTGAAGAGTACGTTCGTTTAACCATGTGGCCGCGTGCTGCAAAGTATCGAAATTGCCAAGACCCCCAACTACTGCATTGCATTCGAAATGCTTGCCCGTGGTGAGTCCCGCAGGCGCTTGAGCTCGATGAGTTTCTCCTCAACTGCGGAACCCAAACTGCGTGCAGAGCCTGCTCCGGCAGAATCAACATCAGCACGCGATGGGTGTAATTCGAGAGCGGCAACCCGAGCGGTGATATCCTCGAACTCGGCGTTCTGGTGGTTCTCGAGGTTGGTCAGGCGAATGGAGATGTCTTCGATGTGCTCCTCCGCCTCCTCGAATCTGGTTTCGATGAGCCCGCTCTTGTCAGTAAGGCGTCGTTTGAGGTTGCTGATGGTATTGCGAAGTGGCTGCACCTCCTTCCGGAACATCTTGGCGATCTCGTCCAAAGAAGGTGGATGTGGGTGCTGTCTTTGTTGCTCCTGCTGTACGGCGTCACGTGCTGGTGGGAGCGCTTCTGGTGGAGTCGTAGGGGTAGGAGTCGCAAGTGTGTGTACATCGGGGCCGTCGTCGCCGTCCATCTCGTTCAAGGCACTGAATAAGCGTCTGCGTGAAATACTTTCCCTTCCAACTCCTGGGGCCATCTGGGTGAGCGAGTGGGCCATCTGGGTGAGAAGCACTCGAAGCCATGGTCCTCAGAAGGGGTGCGCGAGTGCGATAGGGAGACTGCTCACCTGCGGGCCGCAGGAGGCAGGCGGAGCCCTGGGGCGGACCAGGTACTGCAGAGCCCTGCGGATTTGGGCGAGAAAAGCCACCTTGAGCCAAAATGGCTAATCGGAGTGCCGAATCGGAGGCGGGTGTGCCGAATCGGAGGCGGTGCAAGATGCGGACCCTGCCGCTGGGACCTTCGGTTGAGCTCCCTGTGGGGCCACGAAGCGTATGGGGTGTGTGCCAGATCGATTGCGGGTGCGCCATGCGGACCTTGTCGCTGGGGCCTTCGGTTGAACTCCCTCTGGGGCCACGAAACGTTTGAGGCATGTACCGAATCGTGTATGGGGTTCGCCATGCAGACCCTGCCATTGAAGCCTTCGGTTGAGCTCCCTGTGGGGCCACGAAGCGTGTGAGAGGCCTTTCAACATGGACACTTGCAGGGCAGATGCAGGGATGGGAGGAGGGAGGAGGGGATGGAGGAAGGAGTGACTGACGCGGGGCGCTGTTTCTTCAAAGCGAGGACCCAAATCAGGACCGTTGGGAATTGTAGTGAGGGCTGAGATCCTGAGGACACTCATGTTTGCACTGGGAATCTGGATAATGTTGGCAGGACCAGCCCTTTCCACTATTGCCAGCCCTTGGTAACCTCATTCCAGGTGTTTCGTCCGCGTTTCAGCAACTGCCAGCTTTTCCAGCCTTGTCCACTTCCACTGTCATTTCATTCCGAATTTGCAACTTCATATTTTCTCCGCAGCTACGGCACGGGCATCGACGACGAGTGTCGCTGGAGTGCGTAGGCGAGAGCGGTGAGGTACATACTCTTGCGGGAGCCAGCTTAGATCATCGTCGGGGCGATGAGGTGGGCTACGAACAATGAGTATGGAGGCCGATACTATGGATACGGGCATGGCCGCGGTTGACATAATAACACCATGTACGAGGATTGCAGTGGCCATTATGGCGAAGTGTGGCCAGCTGGTGAATGACAGAACGGTGGTTGCAGCCGACATCAAGAAACAATAGTTGAACGATGGTCGACACGTCCAAGATAAACTCATATAGCAGACCAGCATCACACGCCTGAATGACAACCTCAGACAGCCAGAGCCTTTCTGGGTGCCGCAGCACAACTTGAAGGTCTCACTTCGACCTCCGAGTTTTGGAGGCGACGCACCATGAATGCCACCCTCGGTTGCAGAAACATTATATGATGCCCATCCAGGAGCAGAGGGGAAATTCACCATGTGCGGCCACGCGGCTTGCTGCGACATCACGCCAACAATTTGCCGCGCCCAGAACCCAGCGGTTCTTCCGACTGCGCCAGGGGGAGCTCTCGGGCCTCCCCTCTGCTCCTCCTGTGTTGTGCTCGGCCTCGCCGTGGGGGGCCTCCCCTCATGCGATGCTGGGGCGAAAGATCGGCCAGTCTCCTTCCCCCTCCTTCTCTCGGCCAGCCACCGCTCGCTCCTCGGCTCTCGCTGCTCCTCGTTCTCGTCCTAGCCTCGTCTCGGCTTCGCCGCGGGGGCCTCCCCTCGGCGATTCTCGGGCAGGAGATCGACTAGTCGACTAGCGTCCACCATTACCTCAATGACACCACGTGGCTACAATCGACTGCGACAGACGAATGGGAACAGTTGTAAACAGATCCCGTTATCTAGACGTCCTCCGGCACTTTCAACGATACCAGCATACGGAGTGGGCCATCGATGCTCTCGGCTTGTCCTGCGAGGCCATGGCCCCACACGCTCCGCCCTTACGGTGCCCGGGCGACTGCCCGCATGAGCGATCTTCTCCGTCCTTCGTGCCGTCTCGACAGCACGTGCCGCTTCCCGCTCCGGGAGCTTCGATGCGCCCCCCGCGAAAGGCGTGCGACGAGACGGGCTGCGAGGAGCGCCCAGGCCCGGTGGGCCCCACAGCAAGGGGGGGTCGGGCGTTGCGCAGTGGAGGGGGCGATCAGCCCAGACCCCCTCGAGTCGTGAGAAAATCACGACCGAAGGGAATTTCTTCGCTACTTTCGGCCTCCAGGGGCCCTCATAGGGCCTTGGGACAGTTAAAAAAGAACTCGGGATGAATACTGGTCCCAGGGAGTGACTCGAAACCTCTGTGGGTCGACGTTACTAAACAAATCATGACGTCGGGGGTCTGGGAATGGGTGGGTGGGTGAAGCGAGATGCACTGCTCGTGTACCTCAGGGGCCCTTGGGGGTCCAAGAAGGGGTACGAAAGGTCCACGTTTCTTGGCCCCCTACCGATCGCCTTCCCAGCGCGCAACGCCCAAGGAGGGGGGGGGGCGGGCCCCCTGGGGTGCGCGGGAGAGCGGGCGAGAGGTGGGGTCCTGGCACCTCCTCCTCCGCGGCGGGCAGGAGCGAGGGCCTCAAGGTGTTCATGTGAGTCGGGCAGGCAACCTTCTTCCTTTGATCTGATTACGACTTCGTCATTCATCCCATTCCCCATGTCCATTTCCTTCTCTTGGGGGCCTGCTGGCGGTCTCTGGGGTCACCTTTGCGCGGAGGGCTCGAACGGTCAGTTCGTGTTTCCCCTCTTGGGACCCTCGCAGGCCGTCTTTGGAGTCTCTTAGGCCTTCTGGGGGCCCTCCCAAGCAGTCTTGGGGTTCGGGCGGGGCCTCTTGGGCCGTCTCGGGGAGTTGGAAGACCGAACAGGCGAGAGCGTCAACATCTTTTACAAGCTGTAGGCAAGTCAATGACGTTGGCCTCTCTCTCCCTATGGGGGTTCCTCTTTGGGCCCTTTTGGGCCGTCTTGGTGGCCTCTTGGGCCGTCTTGGTGGCCTTTTGGGTCGTCCTGGAGAGGCGGCGACGGCGACGAGGGAGGAAGAGGGGGAGGGAGGATAACGAGGAGGAAAAAGGAGCCGGGAAGGGACGCAGGGAAGAGGTTTCCCTTACGAGGTGATTTTGTTTTGTGTGGAACTTGCCATGCCATTGCATGGGATGGGTGGGCCTTGCGAGGGCTTCACACGACCAGCCCCGCAGGCCTCTCACACACGCCGGCAGGGTCCAGTAACGGCCGCTATCGCGAAACATAAGAGAACTCTCTCTTACGCACGGCGTACATGCTTACAGTCGTGGTCATATTTTTTGAAGGTCTCAAGCGTGAGGCGCACCTTGAACACGGGCCGCCCTCCATCCCCTTACCGGTTCGGGAACTTACAGTTCGAGTGTGTTCGACGCTATGGTGATAACCACGTGCTGAAAGCCACCCGCCATTCATCCATACAGCTGTTGGAAGCTTTGAAAACGGACGCGTGCGGCGCCGAGGCGAGAACGACATTTGAAAGCGATTTTCGCCTTCACCCTTGTAGCTGTTGGAAGTCTCATGCTTCAGGATCATAAGTGGTTGCCAAGTCTCACACGGAACGCCCTGCCCGCCCAACCGAGAAACGCCCGTCCCGCCCAACCGACACGGCTGGTAGTGCGATGAGGCAGAGTAATGTATAAGGAAAGTGATCGAGGAGTAGAAGGGGGAGGTGCGGGGGGAGGGGGGGGGGAGCGAGGACAAGATGGCAGAGGAAGCAGAGGGCGCGGATGGGATCAAGATGAGAGAGGTGGGGAGGGAGAAGGGAGGGAAGGAGACGAGGCATGATGATAATGCTGAAGCAGATGCTGTTGCTGATGATGATGATGATGATGATGATGATGATGATGATGAGGATGACGAGTATGATGATGATGATGATGATGATGATGATGATGATGATGATGATGATGATGATGATGATGATGTTGATGGTGAGGATGAGGGTGATCATGGTGATGATGATGGTTGTGATGCTGATGGTGGTGCTGATGGTGATGGTGGTGGTGATGGTGGTGGTGATGGTGCTGATGCTGATGCTGATGCTGATGCTGGTGTTGATGCTGATGCTGATGATGATGACGATGACGACGATGATGATGACGATGATGATGATGAGATGATGATGATGATGATGATGATGATGATGATGATGATGATGATGATGATGATGATGATGATGATGATGATGGGAGGAGGAGGAGGAGGAAGACCAGGATGACGAGGAGGAGGAGGAGGAGGAGGGTGAGGAAAGGTGACGGATCGGTGGAGAGGATGACAAAGACATGAGGAGGTCTGGGGAGGAAACATGAGGGTTGGGAGGGGACGAGGCAGGACGAGCAGGAGGGAGGAGGAGGGAGGAGGAAAAGGAGGGGGATAGGGGAGGAAGGGGATGAATGAGGAAGGAAGAGGCGGGGGAGGAAGGGGGAGGAAGAGGAGTAGGACCAAGGATGAGGAGGACGAGGGCAACAAACGAGGGGGTGGAAGATGAGTTGGTGGAGGAGGAAGAGGAAGAGGAGGAGGATGCGGAGGAGAGTGGTGAGGAGGACGAAGAGGGTGAGGACGAGCAGGATGATCATGAGGAGGAGGAGAAGGAGGAGAAGGAGGAGGAGGAGGAGGAGGCGGAGGACAATGAGGGAGGGGGTTGTAGGAGAAGCAGGGTCCTGGCGCGGGGTGGGAGGTGCCCCACGGCAGCCTCGCCGCCGCCACTCCTGGCCGCGGGAGCAGAGGCCGAGAGCGCCCGACGCCCCAGGCTTCTTCGCGTGCCCCCCCCCCCCCCCCCCCTCCCCGCAGCCTTCGCGCCCGGGCGCGACCCCGCCAGGCGCCGCGACCCCGCCGGGAGGCTTCGACTTCTACGAGAGCACCGAGGCCGAAGAGGAGCGGCTGCGGCGGAAGTGGGAGGGCTGATGGCCCGCTGGTGGCCGCCAGAGCGCGGCCGCCCCGCAGCACCCCGGCCATGGCCGGGACGCGCGGGCGCCGCTCCAGCCGCGCGGGGGCCGCGGCCAGCGAATGCCTGCCGCGCCCGCCCTTGCCAGTACTGGGCGCCCGCTGCCGCCAAACGGGATGAAGAGGCAGGGATGTCGCTGCCTCGTCCTCCGCCCATAGGCTCAACGAGCTCAATGATAAGTAGATGCAGCCATTCTGGGGTAATCCTCAGATCCTGGACAGTTGTGTAACAAATGTTTGCCAGCGTGGACCCTAAGCTGTGTGTTTCTAACAATATAGATCGCGCAAGCAATATGGAGCAATCTAGGTGTTGTAATCATTGCGCAATGAATATTGAAATATTCGTAGTGCAACCCATGATTTGCAGCAAACGGGTGCGATCTACGAGCTGCAGCATATGTAGTGCAACATATGTGGAGCAATCTCTGTGGTGCGATCAATGTTATAAAATATCGGCTGTGCAGTACATAGTGTGCAATCTATGTGTGGATTACGTGGTGCGACCTACGTCGCGAATGCCATGTGTAGCAATGACTGTGGTGCAGTACGCGTTGTGCAATATAGCTTGTGCAGTCTACGTGGTGCAACACATGTTGTACACTCTACGTGGAGCAATATATGTGGTGTAATCAATCGCTTGCTCAACTTGAAGCTGACCTCTCCACTGCTCGCGCAAACATCCCACGCACCCACCCGCAACTTGGTTTGCAACACCTCTTAAGACCGACTACGACGACACCGACGACAACGACGACGACGACGACGACGACGACACCGACGACGTCTCCGACGACTTCGGCGACGACAACGACGCCGACGACTACGAAGACGACGACGACGACGACGACGCCAACGAAGGCGACGACGAGGGAGGAGGAAGGACGACGACGGCGACAACGACGACAACGACGACAACGACGAGGGAGGAGGGAGGACGGCGACGACGCGAACGACGACGAAGGAGGAAGGACGGCGACGCCGACGACGACAACGACGAGGGAGGAGGGAAGACGACGACAACGACGACGACGACGGTGACTAAATAGATCCGACGACGAGACGCAGACGACGGACGACGACGACGACGTGGGAGGAGGAGGACGGACGACCACGGCGACAACGACGACGGAAACGACCACGACGCCAGAGAGGACGACGACGACGAACACGAGGAAGGACAGAGGACGACGTAGGCGACGACGACGACGACGCGGGAGGAGGGAGGACGGCGACGACGACGACGACGACGACGACGACGCAAGAGCTCGCGCGCGCACGCTTTTGTTGAAAATCCGTGTTGCGAATTTCGCAATGCGAAACCTTAGGTTTTTGTATGTTTTTTGGACGCACGATTTTGAAATCCTTCCGAAACCGATGGGTTTTGAAGGTTTTCGGCATACTCCCGCGACGACGCGCGCCTCTGCACATCGTCCCATTTTTTGCAGAAGGTTCTCGCGACGGCACACGCGCAAGGGCGTTCGACTGATTTTGACATGCGCGCGCGAAGCCCGTTTGGTAGCATTTTGTGAAAATCTTGAAAAACCTATGGTTCTCTTAAGATTTCGCAAGAGCTCGCGCGGAAGCTTCTTTAGCAAATCGGTGTTGCGAAACCATGTGTTTTTGTATGTTTTTTTGGTTTGGGATTGCGAAATCCCTCCGGCACCGAAGGTTTTTGAAGGATTTCGGCATGCGCGCGCGACGACGCGCGCGTGTGCACTTCGTCGCGTTTTTTGCGGGGGATTCGTGAAAAAGTGCTATGTTAGAACAACAAATGTCACCGCATAGTGTTTTTTACAAGGGAACCTCAGGGGGGAAACCGGTTTGGCTGGGATGATTTGATTTCATACTTAGGATGGACGAGTGGTCAGAATCAGATATGGTTTACATACCCGAAAGGGAACGGATAAGTCCGGGGGGGGGGTAGAGTCTATTCTCTTATTAGAAAAGGGAAATTCACTCTGCTGAACTTGAAGTCGTCATCTCCACCGCTCGTACAAACATCCCACGCACCCACCCGCAATTTGGTTTGCAACACCTCTTAAGACCGACTACGACGACACCGACGACAACGACGACGACGACACCGACGACGTCTCCGACGACTTCGGCGACGACAACGACGCCGATGACGACGAAGACGACGGCGACGACGACGACGCCAACGAAGACGACGACGAGGGAGGGGGAAGGACGACGACGGCGACAACGACGACAACGACGACAACGACGAGGGAGGGGGGAGGACGGCGACGACGCGAACGGCGAAGAAGGAGGAAGGACGGCGACGCCGACGGCGACAACGACGAGGGAGGAGGGAAAACGACGACGACGACAGCGACGACGACGACGAAATAGGAGGGACGACGACGAGACGCCGACGACGGACGACGACGACGAGGGAGGAGGAGTAAGGACGACCACGGCGACAACGACGACGGAAACGACCACGACGCCAAAGAGGACGACGACGACGAACACGAGGAAAGACAGAGGACGACGTAGGCGACGACGACGACGACGTTGGAGGAGGGAGGACGGCGACGACGACGACGACGACGACGCAAGAGCGCGCGCGCACGCTTTTGTTGAAAATCCGTGTTGCGAATTTCGCAATGCGAAACCTTAGGTTTTTGTATGTTTTTTGGACGCACGATTTTGAAATCCTTCCGAAACCGATGGGTTTTGAAGGTTTTCGGCATACGCCCGCGACGACGCGCGCCTCTGCACATCGTCCCATTTTTTGCAGAAGGTTCTCGCGACGGCACACGCGCAAGGGCGTTCGACTGATTTCGACATGCGCGCGCGCGAAGCCCGTTTGGTAGCATTTTGTGAAAATCTTGAAAAACTTATGGTTCTCTTAAGATTTCGCAAGAGCTCGCGCGGAAGCTTTTTTAGCAAATCAGTGTTGCGAAACCCTGTGTTATTGTATGTTTTTTTGGTTTGGGAACTCGATTGCGAAATCCTTCCGGCACCGAAGGTTTTTGAAGGATTTCGGCATGCGCGCGCGACGACGCGCGCGTGCGCACTTTTTCCTTTTTTTGTGCAACGGATTCGCGAAACAGTGCTATGCTAGAACAGAAAATGTCACCGTATATGTTTTTTTTTTTTTTTTTTTTTTTTTCACAAGGAAACCTCAGGGGTGGGGATACCGGCCGGCCTGGGATATTGTAAATTCATAGTTAGGATGGACATGTGGTCAGAATTATATATGATTAGCATACCCGAAAAGGGGTACCGATAACGCGGGGGGGCGGGGAGGGTATATATTATTCTGTTTGAAGGAGAATTCACCCTGCCGAATTTGAAGTTTTCAACTCCCGTGCTCGCGCAATCATCCCACCCACCCACCCACAACATGGTTTGCAAAACCCATGCGGCGGCGATTGTGATGAATGCTCGTCGCTGGCTGGCGCATCGCCGCGGCCGCGGTGGCGCTGACCGCTGGGTAGTTCCCAAAGGGCATTTCAATGCGGGTCGGCGAGTTGGGCAGGCGCGGTTTCATGGCAATGTCGACAACGGTAGACGCGATGATGATGGTAACGATGCTGGTGGCGATGGTGGCAACGACGACGGCGCGGCCAGTGACGGCGCCGATGTTGATCACGCCGACGACGATGACGGCGTCCTCGCGTCTGTGATGAAAGTTTGGCAAGGAGTTCGACATGCGCGCGCGGACGACGCGCGAGAGCGGCCCGCATGGTAGTATTTTATACGGGTCGTGCCCCCCCGGCATGCGCAAGGGCGGCCGAATCTTTTCGGCACGCGGCGCGAGAAGCCCGCGCGTCAGAATTGAATGAACATGTTTTTAAACCAAGGGTATCGTTCAGAATTCGCAAAAACTCGAGCGCATTTTTTTTTTTTGAAAAAAGGATGATGCACACCATGTGTTTCTTACTTGACAGTTTGTGCTGATAGGTTTCTAGTGGGACTAAAAGAGAGCATCTTGACGCCCCAGGGGGGTCTGGGCGGGGTCCGGACAAGGAACTGGGCAAAAGTGCGGCCCCAATATACCTTAGGAATCCTTAGGAATTCCGAGGAATCCTTCGGAACCCATTCCCACAACACCATTCCCAGGCCATATTTTGAGTGTCCAGAGCCAGCTGTAGGCCATTTCGTGTTGTTCGTGTTCCCAGAACACAACTCCCAGGCCACATTTTGAATGCCCGGAGCCAGCTGTAGGCCACTTCGTGTTCTTCGTGCTCCCAGAACACAACTCCCAGGCCACATTTTGAATGCCCGGAGCCAGCTGTAGGCCACTTCGTGTTCTTCGTGTTCCCAGAACACAATTCCCAGGCCACACATTGAATGCCCGGAGCCAGCTGTAGGCCACTTCGTGTTCCCAGAACACAATTCCCAGGCCACATATTGAATGCACGGAGCCAATTTTAGGCCACTTCATGTTCTTCGTGTTCCCGGAACACCATTTCTGTTCCATATTTTGATTGCCCGGAGCCAATTGTAAGCCAATTCGTGATCTTCGTGTTCCCAGAACACAAGTCCTGTGCCATATTTTGGATGCCCGAGCTGAGGCAGGCTGAGGCCGAGGCAGGCTGAGGCCGAGGCAGGCTGAGGCTGAGGCACGCCGAGGCAGGCTGAGGCTGAGGCTGAGGCAGGCTGAGGCTGAGGCAGGCTGAGGCTGAGGCTGATGCAGGCTGAGGCCGAGGCAGGCTTAGGAGGCTGAGGCAGGCTGAGACTGAGGCTGAGGCAGGCAGGCTGGGGCTGAGGCTGATGCAGGCTGAGGCTGAGAGGCTGACGCTGAGGCTGAGGAGGCTGAGGCTGTGGCTGAGGCAAGGCTGAGGCTGAGGCTGAGGCAAGCCGAGGCAGGCTGAGGCTGAGGCTGAAGCTGAGGCAGGCTGAGGCTGAGGCTGAGGCAGGCTGAGGCTGAGGCAAGCTGCGGCTGCAGGCAGGCTGAGGCTGAGGCTGAGGCTGAGGCTGGCTGAGGCCGAGGCTGAGGCAGGCTG